TGCGCCCTCACGTCTGAATAATATTCTGTAACTCTGTGACCATTTCATTTCTACGCGAATAATAGCTGGCTTACATATCGCAGAATTCCCCCTCCCCAATAAAAAATAAAGTTTCCCTGTTTTGTGACAAGCTTTTCACACCTTCCGGTGCCTCAACAGCCGCAATCTTTTAGTTCTCTGCGCTCTGGCTTTTCGCGTCAGAACCCCTACCTGGAATTCCCGTTAATACGCAGCCTTTTTTCACCAAGTTCTACCCCTTCTCTCCCAACTAATTGCGTTATTGCCTTCTGAATGGTTTCTAAAGGCTAGTGTGAAGAAATAGCTAGGAATGTGTACACAGTACTATGTCCTGGATATGAAGGGGTTTGAATAGGGCCAATTTTTGTTTGCCTAAATTTTTTATAACAATCTTTGACCCGTTTTTTACTACATTTTTGTGCCTCTTCATTTTTTTCTGTTTCTCTTCCCTCCCAAGGCGGCAAGGGCTCCCTGCAAAATCAAGCTTATTCTTACTCCTCGAGCCACGTTGACCTTCAGAACACAAATAATGGGCTTTTTCCCTTTCATCGAACTAAATCATACTGCTTTTCAGGATCTGCTCTACTTGCTGGTGTCTGACAGTGGTTACGCTAACGAACCATCCATCGTTTGGGAGTCTTTCAATAACGTTGACGGCAGTTCGATTTTCTTCGCTAGCGACTTTACTATTGGCTCTCCTCGTTCTAGTACTGGTACGAGTGGCTCGCAAGTTCCATGCTCCACGGATGTTGAGTGCGTTATCGAGTGTTGATTTATTTTGTTTGAAGTGTGAAGTTAGTGGGGTTTAGCAGAGTGCTACATATTATCGGTTTCAGCTTTTTGCTGGCCCAAGAAATGCAAGCTTGTGAAGAAGAGCTAGCTCGACAAGAAGCTGAACAAGCTGCTAGAGAAAGAGCTTCAGCTCAAAAGTCAGCGCTACCCTTCTCCTACTGAAGAAAGGTTTGTTTATTCGCTTGTACTACCAATATGTAAAGTAGACTGCTCCTTCCTTCTTATATGACTCATTGGTACTCCGTAGCGAAGGAATGTCATGCATCTCAAGTAACCGAATCTTTTCTGATCTATGTCTTAGCTTTCCTGTTTTTCTTTCGTCACGTTTTCCAGTAATGCGGAGTCAAGTGTTCCATCTCTTCTGACATCAAATGGTATGCAAACGTGCTAACGTGGTGGTAAACTGTTCTGCAGGTTTTCAGAGCTTCAGCGCGTGCTTTTTTCGAGGAGACTAGGTAGTTAAGTGAGTGATCCAGAGCATTTCAAGGGACGCGTTTTGGTACAGTGAGAAGCGATTGCGAGCCAGGAGGAATGAGACATATTTTCTGCCTTAGCCGAGGAAGAGAACTCTACCTTCACTGGAATCGCTCGCCCACTAGGTTTGTGGATAGCCGTGGTAAAGACACATATCACGCTTGGAGGAAACTCCCGGGACTATGACATCGCTATATCAAGATACATGGCCTTAGTTTGAAAATTTTTTCTTCTTTACACTGTCCCAGTTATAGCCGTTTTCGCTGCAGTTCATAGGGGTGTCAAAAGCTGCGTTTAGCGCGTCGCGTTCTCCACCAGTGCTGGAAGTGTTGTAGCGAAACAGCTAGTGGAAAACCATATGATATGATCTTGTCGCTTGGCGGAAGAAAAATAGAAAAGCTGGCTGGTGCTGCGCTAAACCCATCCCCCTGACACCACGTCCCCTATCATCGCCGTGTAGTCATGTCTAGGATTTCATCTTGCAGTGCTCTTTCTGTCTGCAGTTGTTCGATAACACCCGAGATGAAGATCATTGGCGATCTCAGTTCATAGGAAGTTTCAGATTGGTGTTTTCTTTTGGCTCGTATCAAAATAAAATATTCTAACTGCAGAATTGAAAACCGCACGGTGAAAAAAGTCTCTCCCCTGAGTTTCACAGAAACACTGTCTTTCAGGAAGTTTAAATATTCTGTTCTTCGATGCCATTTTTTGATTCGCGTAATGTCAGAGCTGATGTATCTTTGTGTTATAGACATTCTAACCATGAGAGGACACCCCATAGGAATAGCAGGCCTGTTGTTGCAAGTTCCGGATCTAAGGAGAAGAAGGTGAGGAAGATGGAGCTTTAGCATGTATATATAACTGCGCATGTATGTCATGCGGTTGGGAAGTGTGTCAGAGAGTAAAATTTGATATTTCAGTGCACAATATCGTGAACGCTCACATCGGCTGAAAGTAACACTTCTGTACTCGCCGTTTCGTTATTAGTTTTTTGGTTCTCGAACGTTTAAATACATACTCGATACAAAACGATTGCCATTTTTCAGCACTGACCAGTTTTAAATTATAGATATATACATTGTATATTCTTATCTTCACCACCATATTAGTCCTATTCGGTACGAGTTTGTTTTCATACGCGGATATAGAATGTCCCGGCCTCAAATTTGAAAGCATATTGACTTTTAGATGAAGTGTATTAGTTTTATAAGTGCCTTTATTAACTATTCGCCCTCATTCTGTTGCTTTTTGTGATATTTGTCTCGGTTTTATTCTTTGTGAAATAGCTGACCAATGTAGTCCAGTGTTTATTTTAGATTCTTTTATTTGCAACATTTTGAATGGTATTTTCGAAGTGATTTTTATTCAATAGTTGTACTATTAACTGAACTACTTTGTAATAAGTAACTTTGTACATTATTGCGTTGTTCATAAAAGCGTACTGTTGTAGAGCAATCATTTAGTGGTCTTCTTCTTGGACACTTGGCGAAATTACTGCCTCACTAATGTACATTTTTTCAAGTAAACTAGAGCAGAAGCTGTGTTCATTCGTTGAAGATCACGTGTACCGTTCATGTCAAAATATCTATCTGCCTCTCGAATTTTAATTATGGCGATGAGCCTATGCACCTATGCAAGCTTCCGAACATTATGGAAAAGCAAAAGTTAGCGTGCAGTATGTCGGAGCTGTTAGTGGCGGGGGGGAGGCATTTTTCCCACTTCCCATCGACGTGTCGAGCCATCTAGAGAGCTGTTTCATGGGCTTCCAAGAATTGACAGGTTTACCATGAGTTTTCTCCAGCTTCACAACAAGCCTTAGGTTTCACCAGAGTGAGACTTGTGGAACGGAACTGGTGAAGCTTCGAGAATGCAACCCCCCCCGCTCCTCCCGTCGGCTTAGA